AGGGACCGAGGTTAGGGGGGTGGTCCGTATGGTTCCTTCATCTTCTTAATCTTGAATTTTGTGCAGGTATCTACACCTGCCTCGGCACTCGAGCAAGTCCCGTATCTGCCCGGCTCCCTTTCACCTCCTGTGGATGGTGATAGTATCACTTCTCTGCCTCCCAGGAGTGCGGTAATCGCCCTAGAAAGTTTTTTGGCCGGGATAGTCATGGGACCAGAGAAATATTTCACTGGTGCTCTAGTAGAATTTGCTCTTGTAGCTGTGTCTGTTGTGCAATTATGATATTTTGTACAAACCCCACTATATTCTGCAACTGCTGTCCTGCCGCACGCTGCTGCAGGCGTTACGCACGCTGGCGGTGAGCACACCCAGCTCTGAAAGACAAGGCTCGTTAAGTTTCTGGAACTTCTGCATTCCCCATGTTGGTGGCTGCAATTTAAAAATCCTCATTTGTAGTGCTTGGTGGGCTGTCAAAGCTGAGATCTTTAGGATTTAAACAATTTTGTGACAGTTGCAGGATAGCACTTCAGTTTCCACGGAAACTGGCACTGGCTCTCCAAAATCAAGGTGAAGTGTTGGCTGATTATCTAATAATAATGCTGAACATTTAAATATGAAATTCTTCACCTTCCTCTTGCTGAAACAATTTCTGTTCCTACAGCATCCAGCAAACGCAACAGAGGTCCTGTGAATTCAAGCTGTTGTCACAGCTTGGGCTGTGTAATCTACTTTCCAGAGATGAAAGACAAAATTTAGCCTTGACCCGTTCAGCCACTGAGCCTTGTGCTCTGCTGTTAAGATAAAGGGCTAATGTGTCCCCATATCTACTGCACAAACTGGTACCATTGTTTATATGAGAAATTACACAATAACGGTCATTTGCTTTACCTTGCAAATATATGTATTACTATATATATACACTATACTATGCTTTTGCAGAACATTTTTGTCTTCAAATGTATTTCCTTATAAAAAATTCTCAGTGCATAAACTTATCTGCTCACACTCTGGCTTATCACCCAAATTTAATCGCTCTTTGGCTTTGCACTCATTGAGCTCTTGTTTTGAATCACTGAGTTTCATCGTTTTGCTGAACATTCCTTTTTCCAGGTCATTGATTTCTAAGGTTAACAAAATGAATCTTCCTGCTGATCGTTG